CCATACGTATTCTTAAACGAATTATAAGATTGGAGACAGCAAAATCAAGAAATTATGATATTACATAAGAGGAATTCAAACTATTCACATGACATCAATTCAGGACTGTTCCTCTAGGATACAGCTAATATCGAGTGGCAAAATCAAATATTATGAGAAACCTAATAGAACTATATCATTTTTCTACATTTGGAAATGTGCATTATTTTGTCGACTAATTATATTGTAAGGGTCTAAGCGGACCGCATAAAGGGCATCCTTTTCTGCAAAAGCACAATGATTTCTGGATCTTGATCGCTTTATCTTTTTTTTCTCGTCTAGTTAAATAAACGTGTATAATAAGTTGTTTAATTTTTCGGCTTCCTGACTTTTATTGTTAGACACGGCCAATTGGGCCACAACCAGAAGGAGATCTGTGTGCCCCTTCCCCGTAAAGTGTTCGAGTTGATGGGCAATGCCGTCTGCCAACTGGAATGTGGCCGCATGCATACGCTTGCTCTGGTGCCCGTTACTGGGCGTATTTACTCATTTGGAGCTGGGGGTGAAGGCCAATTGGGTCTTGGTGATCTGCTGAACCGATCTGGTCCTACTATTGTGCGCGGTGAGTGATCAGTTTCCTGCTTTTGCTAACCAAAATACTATCCTGCTCTAGTACATATTTTTATAGGCTTAGCAACCTGCTTCACTTATTGTATCCACTCTTTAAAAAAATGTGATTTAATATTTAGGATCCTATAGCTACCCAGTTTTCTATAGGCTTTTATAATTCCATCTTCTTACTCCTTTAAGTATTAATCCAATTTTGGTGCGTTATTATAGAGAATTATAAGTTATGAATAATAGCTCTTCATCCTAGGTCGCATAGGGTGACAATTAAATTTTCCCGCAGTGATAAAATTAGGCTTTAAAATGTAATTGGATTTGACTTATCCTTGTCTCCTAAAAGACACTCTCATACAGGATGGACTGCAGCTCTGACTTCGCCCCTAACGATAGTCGAACCAGACTGGTACAACGTTCTTATTTCCTACGCGTTACCACTACGCCGCACTACCAGGAGTGCCTTTGGGTGACATGCAAGTCGTGATTATCTAGGCCTCTTATCATAATCATAATAGTAATTTCGATGAGGCAATATGTATTTGTCGTTACAATCGAATCCTCTAAGTATATTCATACTGTGTTTTTTGATATTACATACAGTATCGAATTAAGTTAATAAGTATTATTAGCAAAACTAAGTAGCAACAGTGGGATTCTCTTGGCGTTGTGATTATATCTGTGTGCGAATAAGTCCGCGCATCGTCCCGCGACCCCGACTCCGTGCTGAACTGTAGTTTTTGATAGGACAGATATCAGAATCATGTATTACGAAAGTTAATTGTCTGCAATCCTACCTATTTATTGTAACCTAACTATCCATTTGATAAAAACTGCACTAATAAGGAATTCTTGAATAAAACGCATACATGGATTGTCTGATTTAGAGATATTGCAGGGGCTATTTGATGTAGCCGCCATCACGAATTATTTGTAATCAATTAATATAAACCTGGCAGTTTTTAATAAGGGCTTCTTACGAATTTTTCAATTTAGTAGCCGATAAATTAGTAGAAGATAGAGATTTATTTGGAAATGTTGATGTGATATCAATTTATATTAACCCCCCTGTCTGCGGAGCTACCCGGGCTCTAGAATTAGCATGAGTCTTAACTATGTCATTGTGTTTATTCCCAGTTTTATAAAATAACTTAATAGTTCATTTGGAATTTTGTCTGATTCAAAAAGCGCTTTTACTTCCTAAATTACTGATTATTTATATGGATGACTACTTTACCATTTAGCAACACGGCAACGAGAATCTATATCACTACCTTAAGCTACTGTATTGAAAATATGGGAAGACTAAATTAATCACAGAATTATAAAAAGATGGTAATCTATTTTTATTTGATAAGTATGTTATCGAGATTGCCAGTAGATGTAGGGGATGAGATATATTCACCCTATTTCGTTAAAGTGATTAATGACTGGCTGTTGAATTTTCACACAATGCTA